AGAAGAATCAGCAGTCGCAAAAGTCTAGCGTGTGCCTTTGTGAGAGGCAGGTGGCAGTTGTTTAGTGTACAGAATACTGTGGCCACCTTCCCTGTCCATCAACAGCAAACCCTTCCAAAGTCGGGCCTTGAGCGCCACCTGGTGGTAGACCTTGACAGAATTTAAAAATTCTGGCTGATGTAAAAGTAGTCCATGCTCTTCTCTACCCTAGACTTCCTGTCTTTCCCCTCCAAAAGTGGGCCTGCTGTAAAAATGATATAGAAATATCTAATTTCACTTAAAGTTGATTCTCCAGTTAGAAAAGAAATTACATGCTAGTTTCAGAAAATTTGGAAAGCATAGAAAGGAAGGAAGAAGAAATATGACACATTTAATAGGCACAACCTAGATTAATAACAATTAATATTTGGAAATATTAACTTCCAGTGATTTTCTCGAATATGATCTTTTCATATTTTCATAGCTCCCTCTACACACACACACACACACACACACACTCTGAGGCGGGAGTGAGTGAGAGAGAGCTTCTCAGGTGCTGGGAGCTAACTCTGAGTTAGAATCTTGTCTTTGCAGTTACTGACTGTGTGACTTGGGCAAATGAGTGGCGATTTAAAAAATGACTCCTGGAGCTGTCCCAGTGAAATGACAGGAGATTTGCAAAATGGTCAGTCCAGGGTCTCTCAGAGAGGTTACTCACCAACAATAGATTGGGATGCAAATGCTGTCTTCTGATTCCTTGAATCAAACTCCAGAAATAGAGTTGATTTAGAGACTCGGGGGCATGAAGAGCCTCAAGTCTGTTACAAAACTGAAAGGAAAAATTTCAACAAGATCTCGTGTCTCCAGCACCACAGATGTTCCTATTTGTCTCTAAATTTTTTCAGGCTCTCTTTGTGTTGGGCAGTTTTTAAACACAGTAATTACAGTGCTTGTACCAGTTCCCTTGATGTTACATCACTGACATTTTCCTCTAGGGCTAGGGCTGTCACAGACAGTTGCCGAATTAACTATTTCCTTAGTGTGGAATGTCTGAACCATGTGCATTCTCATTCATTCATTCATTCATTCATTCATTCGTAAGTTACTGAGTGCCTCCTTTTTGCTAGGCACTGGGTCACTGTGACCCACAGGAGCAGGGTCATTCCTCACTTCTGGCCCCTAGGTTGGCAATACAGTCATGGAAACAAAGTTCCCACCTTGGAGGTGAGAGGCAGTCCCTCGCACTGACCTGCTCTTGCTCCCAGCAGTGACAGTGGATGCCTCTCTTGGAGGCACCTCCACAGGGCTGGAATGCCCACTAACACATTCTAGGGGGCTGACCTGCTCTTGCTCCCAGCAGTGACAGTGGATGCACCTTGGAGGCACCTCCACAGGGCTGGAATGCCCACTAACACATTCTAGGGGCTTCTGGAAGAGTTAGAGGTATCTCTTGCCATGTCCAAAGCCCCTGGCAGTGGAGCTGCTCTTGTGCCCTGCAGTTCCTTCTCTGAGACTTCGATTCCACTTGTTCAGTCAGCGCACCCCCCCACACCCCCAAGGTTGATGCTCTCTGCTTGCATCCATGGCACTTCATCTTTTCCTTATCTCTTCTCTCAGTGAGGGCCTCCACTGGCTCTGAAGCACCTGGAGCAGGGAGCAGGGATATCCTCCACTGGTGGATGGAGCCTCTGTGACGGTGGCCAAGTGAGCAGAGCCTGCACTTGTTTTTTTTTCACTGACTCTGGCCATGGCCTCTGCAGTGGCTACCTCATCTAACTTTCTGCCTGCCCCATTCTCAAGATTCAGCTTATGGTCTATGTCTGGTGTAGAAACTGGCTTTTAATTCTCAGGACACTTCGCATTCTTGGAACTCCCAAGTAGTTTTTTGTTTTTTACTGTGGTTGGCCTCATGCAGCCTCTCTCTTCTGTAGTTATCGCACCTGGAGAGGTCTGCTTTAGATTGGGAGATCAGAGGCATCTCAGCAGGGCCATTGTTTACCCTGAAAGCTGAAGAAATGGGCAGAGTCTAGAGCCAGAGTGTTCTAGGCAGAAGGAAGTACATGTATAAAAGTCCTGAAGCAGAAAAGACCATGGATGTCCAATTAAAGCAGCTATCCCTACGTAGGCTGACCTTTCCAGATTTGGTAAGTTGTAAACAATTTGCTATTGCATTCACACAGCTTTTTGCAGACTACTATGTTCTGTCCTCGTCTAGAGAGGAGTAAGTACAAATTTGTCCTTGCCTGGACTGATGGAGGAGACTGAGATGATTTTTCTATGATGTGACTGGCTGTGGGGGAGAGTTATCATGGGTGCCATCAGTAAAGAGAGTAACTACTTCCTGAGGGCACTGAAAAAAGCTTCTCAAAAAGACAGCATCCAGGATGAGCCAGTTTCCCAGGCAGAGACATAAAGGAAGGGTCACCAGGCAGAGGGAACAGTGTGTACTAAGGCACAGAAGCAAAGAGAGGGCATGATTCTAGAAATCGGAAAGAGTCTTGAGACAATTAATATGCTTGAGGGGAGGTTTCTAAGCAAGGAGGGGGCAGTTCTGGCTGCAGTATGAACGGGTGGCAGTATTATAGACGAGAGACAGGGACACCATGAGGAGGTTGCTGCAACAGCTCAGACCTGAGGCAGAGGGTGACTGAAACAGTGATAACAGGCAAGAGGAAAAATACCTTATTGTAAAAGTCACAGGACTTTAGGGTTGCACTGGCTTTAAGAAAGGAGGGGGGCAGTCTGTTAAGCCTTGACAATTTTCTTTTTTTCCCAGATTTTTTTAAATTTTAATTAGAAACAAGATTGTTTTACATGACAATCCCAGTTCCCTTCTCCCTCCCATCCTCCTCTACCACCCCTCCCAACAAAAGCCCTACCTATCACATATCCTTTCTGCTCCCCCTGGAGGGTGAGGCCTTCCACAAGGTGTTATCAGAGTCTATCATATCCTTTGGGATAGGGCCTAGGCCCACCCCCATGTGTCTTGTCTTAGGGAACATCCCTGTATGTGGAAGGGGCTCCCAAAGTCCACACCTATGCTAGGGATAAGTACTGAACTACTACAGCAGGTCCCGTAGATTTGCGAGGTTTCCTCACTGAAACCCGTGTTCCTGGGGTCTGATTCAGTCCCATGCTTGTATCCAAGCTATTAGTCTGGGGGGGGGCAAGAGCTCCCCGATGTTCAGGTCAGATGTTTCTGTGGGTTTTGCCAGCCTGGACTGGACCCCTTTGCTCTTCCCTTGTCCTTCTCTGCATCTGGATTCCAGTTCAGTTTAGTGATTACTTGTGGGTGTTTGCTTCTACTTCCACTAGCTGCTGGATGCAAGCCTTGACAATTTTCAGACATCAGTGAATGAGGATGGTGGCAACTACTGAAGCTAGAGACACGGGGCGGGGGGGGGGGGGGGGGTGGGGGGGGGGGGGGGGGGGGGCAGGATTTGGGGTGCAGGAGAGAGTGGCTGAGCAGGGAAGGCCTCTTTTGGGTACCACGGACAGCTCCAGGAGACTCCAAAGGCCTCCAGCAAAAACCCACCACTGGCTCTTGACATTGGCTGCCTTCCAATCAGCAGAGGAGCAATTTTAACAATCACACCCACAGGCTCAACAAGTTGTTCTGTATCACAAACTCTGGAAGAGGGGCTTGGGATTCTGCTTCATAAATGAGTGGCCCAAGTTCCTCATAAAGGTACTTGAAGAAAGTGTCCATGGCTGCTACAAAGGAGGCCGGGTGCTCTTGAAGCTATGGGTGGGCTTGGAGGCAACTTATTTACCCACTAAAATTCCTGGACAAGGCAATGGGACTTCTGGGAAATGGGAAAAGGGGCCACCTTTCTCCAGAACCCTTAAAACTAAATGAGGCAGATTTCACCCAAGTGCGGTCATAGCCACTGGTCAGTGTAGGCTGCTCTTACAACTTTCTAACTCCGTTTCCTGGAACCGCAAGTCAACCCAAATGTGGCTCCCTTAGGCCAGAGAGGAGAGCCCTTCTAGATTGGCTTTACAATTTTACGACAACCTTAGTTGGGTATAGTGTCCCACACCTTTAATCTCAGTACTCAGGAGGCAGAGGTAGTCAGATCTCTGTGAGATTGAGACCAGTCTACATAACAAGTTCTGGGACAGCCAGAGCTACATAAAGAGACCATCTCCGTAACAACAACAACAAAATTACAGTCACCATGAAAAATTGAAAACAGGGGCTCAAATGAATCCTTGTACATGAATATAAAGACACCATTAGTCAGGAGTCAAGGTGTTAAAATAACCCTAAAGTCCACAGACAGGTGTACAGAAAATAACTGTGTAGGTACACCCAGTATTTGTAAGCTTTAAGATAGAATGAAATTCTGGCACTTTCAGAAACCAAATTAGACTAACACAAGAGGTACTCAGTAATTAGAAGTAGGGGAAAGTAGAACTGTGGTAGCCAGGGCTGGGGGCAGGGTGGGGAACCCAGGAGTTAGTTCATGGGTATGCTTTCAATATGGAAAGTTCTGGAGATCCGTGGTAGTGATGGTGTGCACAGTAATATGAATGTACCTGGTGTCACTGGACTGTGTATTAAAAATTAAAATCAGGGCTGGAGAGACAGCTCAGAGGTAAAGCATTGACTGCCGTTCCAAAAGACCTGGATTTGATTAGCACCACATGGCAACTCAAAACCACCTCTAACTTGGGTTTCAGGGAATCTGATGCTTTCTTCTGGCCTCCTGGGGCAGCAGGTGCACGCATGGTACACATACATACATGCAGGCAAACACTTATACACATAAAATAATAAATTTAAAAAGTTAAAACGGTAATTGTATGTATTTAAAAAACTGTCGATGTCCCCTACGCATCTGGGCTTCTGTAAGGTTTCTTAATTCCGTAGGAGATACCTGAAAACCGACAGAGGTGGCCTTCCACCTCAGTTTGAGGCTCACGGAAAAGGGATGGACGGACGGATGGATGTGGGCTTGGAGTTATTATCCCAGGGTGTGTAGGGCTAGGGAAACTGAGTCTCATGTTTGCCAAAGATGTCGCTCTTCACAGGCTCCGGGAGCAGGACAGGAGCTCAACACCTTTTATCTTCAACCTCACCATCAGTCATTCCCGGCCAGCGTCCGAAGGTGTTGGGACCTTGGCGGCTCGCTGTCCTCTCCCAAGATGGCCGCCGCCGCCTCTGTGACAGGCCTGGTCACGTGGGCGCGCGCTCTTGTGAGGTCGTGGCGTCCCAAAGGGCGATTGTCCCTTCCCGGGCCCCATCCCGACTATCCCTGTCAACAGGAGCCTGAGCGATCATGGCAACGGGCTCGGGCGGGGAG